ATGCCTATAATCGCAGCACTTAGGGAAGCTGAATTGGGATGATTGGTTGTGTCCCGGAGTTCAAGACCAGCTTGGGAAACATAGTGAGACCCCATCTTTACAAAAACAAAATCAAACACTAGCCAGGTATGGTGGCAAGCACCTGTAGTTCCACTTACTCAGGACGCTGAGGTGGAAGGATCACCTGAGCTGGGGAGGTTGAGGTTCTAGTGAGTTGCGATCACACCATGCACTCCAGCCTGGGTGACAGAGTGTGACCGTGTCTCAAAAAAAAAAAAAATATATATATATATAGTGATTAGGAACTGCTTAAAGACAAGAGGTGACTAATCTTTGGAGAGTAAAAAATCAAACTAACTCTCACCAAAACAAAGCATCAGCTGTATGGTAATAGACCATACCATAACATTAAATGTAAACATGGGGCAAAGTCTGTGAACATTTGTATGGGGGGAATGAAGGCCGGGAGAGAAGTATTTGGCAGAAATTCCTTCCTGAGAGATATCTGGTAATTCCAGATATGAAGTAGAAAGGAATGAAGGGCAGGAGAGCAGTATTTGGTAGGAATTCCTTCCTGAGAGATATCTGGTAACTTCAGACACGGGGGAGTATAGTGCAGTATTAAAATGAATTTATTTAGGGGTTACTGGTGAATGAAAGGCAGATGAAGAGCAAGAACTTGAAAAGGAAATAGGAAACTCATTTCAAGAGCTCACAAGTTCAAAAAACATGAGAAAATTCAAGATAGGATGGTTAATGTAGGCCATAGGGTCTGAAATTTGGGAGCAGTTGGGAAGAGGATTTGACTGAAAGAGATAAACAGTGAGCAGTGGCCTAAAAAACAGCCATTTCATAAGGAAGCACGAGTAGAACAAAAGCGAAGTTAGCAGAGTTTGGGGCAGGCAGTGAAGACTGTCAGTTCAATGCCTTGGCCTGAAGGGGCCTCCTGGAGCCCAAATTCAAAAAGTCCTGGATCCATAGGGAAGAGGCAGCTGGGCCTACCACCCTGCTCCTGTGAGAGATGGAAGGCAGGGGGCAACATGGGAGGGCTGGTTAACCCTAGGAAAGGAGCTACAGGATAATATCCAAGCACCTGGAAAGACGATGAAAGAATGAAAAACACAGCACATTTGACAATTAAAAGTAATAACCATTTACGGAGCAAGCACTTTGCACCAGGCATTGGTTATAGGCTCTAGCTGCTCTCAGGTAGTTTACATTCTAGTACAAGAAGCAAACCCAAGGCAGAAAGAATCTACTACATGAAGAGGTTGATGTTCTGTAGCAGAGAAAGAGGTAGAAAGGGCTCTGTATGGTTTAGTGTTGATGTGTGCCAAAGAAACACAGTGGAGAAGTCTACACACTTTCTAGCATAATAAAGAGCTTACTTTCCTCCAGGAAGTGACAAAGAGAAGCTTCCTGGTGACAGCTTGGGGTTTGATTTAATCTGAATAAGCCCATAAATCTGTTACATGGTTTTTTTGTATGTTGCCATTTTTGTAGTTTATAGTGAAACGCAAGTATTTTTCAGATTCCATGTTAACATCATTTTAATTCCATTTGATTATGCCAAAAAGAATCAATAATATGTCCTGTTAGAAAAAAATAAATACATTAAAAGGCATTCACCTGCATGGGGAGAATATCTTCTCCTTAGAAGGTCACTCTGTGGGACTGTGCATATCCTCAACCACAGGAGCATTGTGTGACTGAGATTATTTGTGTTTCACTAATGCTGGTAAGTCATTTTTGAAAATTGTCTCAGTAATATTCATGTTGGAAGAATTTTTTACAATTCTTTTAATGTAATTTTAATCATAGCCCCTTTTCTGATTATAAAAGTAAGGCACACTCATTGAAAAGTTGGGAGGAAAGTATAAAGGAGATTTTAAAATGTCATCTTAAAATACCATTTGTAAACTGGGGGATATCATGACTCAGCAGTCCTTATTCTCCTGTCTCATAACCACATACACATATAGATATTCACAAAATAAAATATAAACTCCTAATAGGAAATCTTGTAATTCTTTAACCAAAGGATAGTTTAAGCAACCAGTCAACCCAATGCATTTATTTGGTAGGCTGAAAGTTTGTATAATATTACTCAGAATTGACTTTAACAGGCTGGGCATGGTGACTCACACCCGTAATCCCAGCAATTTGGGAGGCTGAATCGGGCAGATCACTTGAGGTCAAGAATTCAAGACCAGCCTGGCCGACATGGTGAAACTCTGTTTCTACTCAAAATTCAAAAATTAGCCGAACATGGTGGTACATGGCTATGGTCCCAGCTACTCAGGAGGCTGAGGCAGGAGAATTGCTTGAACCCGGGAGGCAAAGGTTGCAGTGAGCTGAGGTCATGCCACTATATTGCAGTTTGGGTGACAGAGCAAGACTCCATCTCACAAAAACTGTGAACTAGGCAAAGTTTGTTTCCAGGTAATAATCCCATCCCCATCCTAAAATCCCATCCCTATCTAATGTTAGGGAGAATTCTAATGTGGTCCCATGTTCTCCACCCCTTGGTGTTACATCCTGTATAATATCCTTTCCTTGAGTGTGGGTGGGACCTGTGACTTGCTTCTAGTCAATAGAATATGGCAAAGTGATGGATGCTGCTCTTGAGATTATTTATATTATATAAGGCTCCATCTTGGAGTGAGAAATTTCTCCGCTGGCCCTGAAGAAGCAGCTATGCTGTGAACAGCCAGTGGAGAAAGTCATGTGGCAGAGAACTGCACAGCAGGTGGATCTGAAGGTGGCTTCTGGTCACCAGCATACTGCCCCAAGGAAATTAATTCTGCCAGAAATCTGAATGAGACTGGAAGCCAATTCTTTCCCAGTTGAATCTCCAGATGAAAACAGCCTGGGTGACAATGTGACTGCAGCTGTATGAGATTAAGTAGAAAATCCAGTTAAACCCAGACCCCTGACTCATAGAAACTGTGAGATAGTAAATGCTTGTGTTGTTTTAAGCTGCTAAATTTGTCACAGGAGTAGAAAACTAACACACTGCCCCCAACAGTCCCATAGTTTTTGTACCCTAGCCCATGTAGGCATTGCCCTTCTACATTGATATTTGTATCAGAATGGAAATAGAGGCTTCCAGTATCTTTTTCATCCTTACTTCTTCATTAATTTCCTACATTCCACCAGAATGGTCTTAAATGTACCATACATAGTACTATCTTTGGCTGAATCTTTGTTCATGCCATTCCTTCCAGTCCATATTCCCTCTCTTCCTCCTTTGTGCCTTGTTCATAAAATCCCCTAAATTTCTAGGCCACTAGACCATTGTTTCCATAGCCCGTTTTAATTTGCATCCTTGTTTGTCCCCGATTCACATACTGCCATGTGACTTCTTTTAAAATCTTATTTCTCTGAGAATATTATTGAATGTGTATATATCATATATAAATATATAATTCACATAACTTATATATATATATACACACAAATATATATAATGTGTACATAGAATATGTAAAATACCTTTTTCTTGAGACAGAATCTTGCTCTGTCACCTAGGTTGGAGTGTAGTGGTGTGATCTCAGCTCACTACAACCTCTGCCTCCTGGGTTCAAGCGATTCTCCTGCTTCAGCCTCCCAAGTAGCTGGGACTACAGGTGCCCGCCACCATGCCTGGCTAATTTTTGTATTTATAGACTAGATGAAACAGGGATTCACCATGTTGGCCAGGCTGGTCTCAAACTCCTGACCTCAAATGATCCACCCACCTCTGCCTCTCAACATGCTGGAATTACAGGCATGAGCCACTGCACCTAGCCAGAATATATAAAATATTATACATGTGTATGTCATCATCTCTCCTCAATGAAATTCAAACTCAGTGAAGCCCCGGATTCCACATTGTGCAGAGTAATTTCCAGGAATACACATGTCCAAATTCAAAAATCGTGTCATATGAAGTAGTCAATCAAGTGTGGTTGGCCACTTATTGAGTCTCTTCACAGAGCCAGCATCCATCATTGTTACCCTAACCTCAGGGAGCTGCAGTTTCCTCTACTGAAAATTAAATATAATGCCATCTACCATAATTAATTCAAAGATTAAACAAGGCTACTATGGGTGCCTGGCACTTCATAGATGCTCAATAAACGTGAGTTAAGAGCATGCCCCTGTAGTCCTAGCTACTTAGGAGGCTGAGGTGGGAGGATCGCTCAAGCCCAGGAGCTGGCACTGCAGGCAGCTATGATGGGGCCACTGCACTCCAGCCTAGGTCATCAAGTGAGATCCTCTTGATTTATTTATAAAAATAAATACAGGAATGAATGAATGAATCAATCAATCAATAAATGTGTGAGTTGAATCAGAATCTAGGTTTGCAAACCTCCCAAGTGTAAAGGCTGTGCAGAGAGAACAGTGGTGGAATTATCACAGGCAGGCCAATGTTTCAAAGAGGTTAGTGAAACTGAAGAAGCTTGTGCATACAAAAGGCCAGTTTAGGTAACTGTGTTTAAACTTTAGTTTCCTTTCTAAGTAGATATATGTGGAATGCAAGGCCAGCAACCAAGTCACAAATACTGATCAAGAAGTGGGAGGGATCTAAAGGAATGCGAGTATGTCCTGCCAGGAAAGAAGTCTGCTGCTTCTGAAATATTTTCGTCTTCTCCACTGGCAGGATTGATCGATTGCAGTTAGCAAAGCGTTTTCTGTGCAGACTGTCCAAGCATCTGCTTCTGTAGTTCTGTACAACTGTTGCTCAAATTCACCCTTCCTTTCGAATGACCCTCTTTGTAGAGCGATAGAAAAATCCATCTAAACCACCCGAACTAATCATCCGAACTGTTTCCAAGTTTTTTAAAGGAAAATCCTAGCGAGGGTCCTTAATACTTCCCCTTACCCTCTGCCTGGGTTCAAACTTCAACTCCCAGGGTTCGCCCAAGTCCCTCCCCCAGTCTTGTCATCTAATGAATATGCAAATAACACATAATTGGCAGCCAATGGCATGGGTTCTGGTCACATGGTACCGATGGTAGGTGAGCAGACAGAAGTTGTCAGTGAACAGAGACGGCACTCAGTCTGGGGCGAGCGCTCTAGTGAGCGCGGACGGATGCTTAGGCAGTAGTCCTGGCAGCGGCGGCGGCGGCAGTAGTGGTGGCAGCAGAAGAGAGGAAGGGGGAGGGCCCCGAGGGCTACACACGCTCACACTTTCAAGTTCCCTTGGAGGGAGAGGAGGTGGGGCTGCAGAAAGAGGAGGCCAGGAGCGGTCCCATCCGTCCCGTCCCGTCTCCCTCTCTTCCTCTTGCTCCTTGCCCCCTGGCTCTGCGAGAGTTGAGGGTTCGGGTGGCCGTACGTGGCAGTGAGGCAAGAGAGCCAGGAGAGTGGGAAGCGGAGGCAGGGGTGCGGGGGAAGATGCCCATCCTGCTGTTCCTCGTAGACACGTCCGCCTCTATGAACCAGCGCACTGACCTGGGCACCTCCTATTTAGACATTGCCAAAGGCGCTGTGGAGTTATTCTTGAAGGTAAAAGGAGGGGAGGGGAGAAATGGGAGAGCTCCCGAGGGATTTCGGGGTGTGGATTGAGGTGCTTCTGTAACGTTTGTATCGCCCTCCCCCCTCCTTTCCTACGCGACCCCCTCCGTCATCCCTCGCCCCGCAGCTGCGCGCCCGGGACCCGGCCAGCCGTGGAGACAGGTACATGCTGGTCACCTACGACGAACCCCCGTACTGCATCAAGGTAAAGGGGCCACGGGTGGGGGGACGGGCGGGAAGCGGGAGCAAGTCGGCGGGGCTGCTTACACCCCTGCCCCCGCCCGAGACGGTCCTGCGTCGCCCGGCGGGGCGGGCGGTGGGGGGGGGCGCAGAGGGCGGGCGGAGTGGTGCGGTCGGCGGCTTCGGAGTAGCAGTAGCGCCTGGTGTCGGGGAGAGGGGACCGGCGACGAGCAGCCCGGGGTAGAAACCGCAGGAGGGCCGAGCTCGTGGCACCACAACCGCAGCCGCCTAGGAACATGGCGGACATTTTGCTTTTGTATGAGCCTGCGAGAGGGAGACTGAGGGCGCTGCTGAGATGGAAAGGAGGGAGGGGAGGGAGGAGCGGGGAAGGAGGGCCCGAAACCCGGAGGGAGGCTGCGAGGCGGGCCCGCCCCTTCGAGGCGCACCGCGCGAGGCTGCGGTGGCGGCCGCAGCCCGGGGTCCGGGTGGAGCCTGCGACTCCGCCCCGAGGTCCTGCGGGCTGGACGCGCGGGCTTTCCCGGAGCCTGGGCTCCTCCTCCGGCCCCTCCTTCCTCCCCTGGTCTTCCTCCCCCTCCTCGGGCTCTTCGCGGCTTCTCCTCCTTCTCCCCCTCTTCCTCCCGCTCCCCTCCCCTTCCTGCTGAGAGCGTGGCAGAGCCAGCCGCCGGCCTTCAAAGACCAGACAACCGTCTTTGCACTCGATGGCCTCTCACCACCCCCACCCAATCGGAAATCTGTCCGCGCCGCCAGCCTCCCCACCCCCAGACCCGGAGCAAGTCACTGCGTTTCTGCTCCGGAATTGGCCAGGTTCAGCCCCGCTCTCAGTTACCTTAGCTACTGTTACATTGGAAATTCCAGCGAAGCAACGACACGTAGGGGGACGTGCCGAATGCGAACCCACAGGGGCAGAGCTTTTTGGGGACCCGCTCTACCTATTTATATCATAAATTAGGTTTCTGCTAGCCACGTAGGAATTTGTCCAGGGGCAAGAAAGAAAGGAAGGGGAGGACTCAAATGTGAGCATTTATAATAGTCAAGTTCGATGATTTGATTCTGACCTGCAGGAGAAAAGTAGGGAGGACAGCCTCTGTGGGGTAATTTATGTTCCTATGGTGAAGAGATAAAGAACTGCTGCTTTGCCTGCAGTAGCCAGATAAAACAGAATTTAAACTGTTAAATCAACCTGCATAGGAGTCCTGCTTGCATATTGAAATTTAAAAAATATTTCTACAATCCTTGACGTCTTTTGTTAGGCTTTTTCTGTTTTCCTCAGAATAATCTTAATAGTGCTAGGGAGACGCAGTCTGGATGTGTTGTGATCCGTTTCTGTAGAGTGAGGTGTCTTAATGAATGGAACCTAGCAAGCTGAGTAGTCGGCCAAAGAGAGTGTTCCTTCAGGCAGAAGGAAACCAAAGAGAAACTAATTTTGTAACTCCCGTTAACAGTTTAATTAGTAGGTTCCCCTTAAAACTGCTCTAGTTTCGATATTTGTTTTCAGTTTGTTATTTTAGCCATTTAGAAAAATTGAGTAGACATCTTTCAAAATACCATAAGCTTTTTAAAAATGTCTGTTTTTCCAAAAGGATGTGATTATTTTTTCCACATAGAAAAGCAGATGTTTAAACATCCTGCGTCTGAATGTCTATACCCTTTGACTGCTAATACAGATAAGAATCCACCATTTGTAGTATGGATTTGAATACATGCTCCTTAATTCGAAGTAATAAAAAAGATAAACTACAAAGCAGCCTGCCTTTTTGGCCGGGTGCGGTGCTGTAATCCTATCACTTTGGGAAGCCGAGGTGGGCGGATTGCCTGAGCTCAAGAGTTCAAGACCAGCCTATGCAACATGGTGAAATCCCGTCTCTACTTGAAAAAAAAAAAACAACAAAAAACAAGTCAGCCGGGCGTGGTGGCGGGCGCCTGTAATCTCACCTACGCGGGAGGTTGAGGCACTAGAATTGCTTGAACCTGGGAGGCGGAGGTTGCAGTGAGCTGAGACCTTGCTGCACTCCAGCCTGGGCAACAAAGTGAAACTCTGTCTCAGAAAAAAAAAGGAACAACTTATTTATCATTTTTCCATATGCCAAGAAGGATCGTTTAAAGATAGTTTTCTATCTATAAAACTTATCAAAACAGTATTTACAGAAACCTGGGAAAGGAAATAAACCTCATTCTTAACCATCATTACACCTTTTAGCCTAGCATTGTAATTACAGTACACATATTACTTTGTATTCTGCTTTTTCCACCTACTTTTGTCCCATGAATTATTCCAGGTCGCCACATAGTCTTCGCACTTAAAAATTTTAATGGCTGTGTAATTCATCCATGCTATTTTAAAGGCCCCAGATAGTTCTATAGAACAGACGGGAAAAGTTAGATTTTGTTTTTAGTGGAAATTTCATCAGATAGCTCTTTTTATCCTGTCATTTTATATACTACATTTTTTCCTAAAGCAAAAAGCACGTTTCCAAGTTGAGTTTGATGTTTTTTTTTCATTATGTAGGTCAGATATATGGGAAGATATATTTTGTAATATGTTTAATTATTAGTCATTGGTTATCTTCTTAGTCTATCTTCCAAAGTTTTTCATTGTACTCTTAGATGATAACTACATGTTCTAGGAAAAGGTTAATGATCTTAATGATGTTCTTGTCATTTTGCTCTCTATACCTGAACTATTAATAATATGCCATATTTTGGTAGCATTTTCTTTTTCTGAGTCTTTTTTCAATCACTCTCCTGCCAACCTGCCTCCAGCCCTCTCAGCATGTGGTATTTAGGATCTAACCTGCTTGGAAGGTCAGAAGTTTTAGAACATCTGGTAATTTCTCTTTTTCTTAAAATTTAGTCTAGTCTTTCACTTGCTAATAGCTGGGAGCCATAAATGTCTGTTTTCTGTCACACTGATTATCAAATAGGTCTTTCTTTGATTGTCAGCAGGCATCTTAGTTCCTACTTAAAAACTTCACTCTCATTAGGAGCCTGAGGTCTTTTCAGCAAAGTGATGTTGGCTAGGATTTTATTGGTAGCTTATTCTTTTGCAGAATGTGAGTATATATATATATTTTTATTTCTCTAAGGTTAAAGGCTATTGTTTCTCTTTTCTCACAATAGCTGCTTACTTCTGGGTCTTGGTTGTCTCCAAGTCTAAACATTGTAAAATGAACTTTATTTTCTACTGGAAGGTTTGTTTCTATTGGTGTTTATAACAGACATGATTTGTGCATTTGGTTGGAAGACTTTTTCTTAATAGGCATGTAACTCTTCCCAGTATATCCACTTACAAGCTCTGACTATAAATCTTGTGAAAAGTTACTGTGACTGGAATTTTTCACTAATGTATACTGTTGAATATGTGAATATAGTATTTCACCAAAGACTTTGGAACTTTTTACCACCTATCTCTTACTATATAACTGTGTGTTCTTTTAAAATTAGCCATATCTGTTACTTGCAGTCCAGGTTTGCATGCATGGAATGAAGTTTGACTTGAGTACCATATAAAAAGTATATGAAATGCAAGCATCGTGTGCTACATCTGTTATGTTGTTTTCTAGACAAGTTTTATGCACAGTGTTACAAGTGTTCACCCTCCCTTTATGCCATGGTATCTTCAGTGTACACAGCTAGCATGAAACCCTGTTTAACATTTTAAAATGTCTAATGTATCCTTATAAAACTAACCTGTGGTTTTTTAAAGTGTTATGTTTTGGGATTTTTTTTTTTTTGGTATAATAGTTCTTATTAGTCTTGGCTGTGGTTCTGCTGTCTTGTATGTTTTGTTTTGCTATGAATCATTATTTCCTTTTATTCAGTGAATAGAAGACGTAGGCTTGTTACTATCACTTTGGAAGAAAGTAAGCCATTAGAGTAGTGAATATAATAACAAAAGTTTCGAAATAGTTTTATGTTGGAAGCTACTTTGTTAAAATTATTTATTTTTTTGTTGAAGGAAATTATTTTTCTAAACATAAAATGGAGTCACTTTTCTGGAAATAGTTGAAACGCATGTATAAAATACTGGCCAGAAGTTTTTTATAAATAGGAAAAGATAATGTTTCAAAGAAATATCCTAAATCTGTAATTTGAAAACATACATTTGAAAAAGTAAACTTTTGCCTTGAGTGTTGCCTTTTCACATCCTGTAGCTAGCTTTACTTGCTGGTGTTTGCATGCCTTTGCCTACATGTATCAGAAAATAGCAACATTTTAGCTTACAGATTTAGGAAGTAAATTTAAGCTTTTAAAATGATATGTGTTAGAGGCATTTTTTGGAATTTTAACTAAGAAGTAACTTTTTCATATGCCCATGAGTGTATTTTATAGGCCTTATTTGCAAAAGGAGTGACTTTTAGGGGAGCCTTTCATTGTGGTTAGGAAGCTATGGAAAAGCTTAACGGTGAAATGGTAGCAACATGGCCTGTGAGAGCAATCTTAGACAATGAAAGATGCTTTTAAAATTCAAAATGCCATGCAGGTAGTGCATTGACTTTTGCGATGGATTGCTTCTCCCACGATCATGCTTTCTTATCCACCTTCCTTTACTGGCCATTTGAGGCATGCAGCAATAATTATTTTGAAATAATAAAAGGGGAGAGTTAATGGTAGAAGACTAGATCTCTGGGCAATACAACCTTGAGACTGGGGATCAGGTGGAAGATGACTAGGGACGATGACAGACAAAATTGTGGAGTCCTGTGTGTTCTGTATCCTCAACCTCTCTTGTATCCATTCATTCTTATTTGCTCCACGTTCAACCTTCATCATTTCTCACTTGCAAGCAGCCACTCAATTGTTCTCCTTACTTCCAGTCCTGCTCTCCACTGATTCCTTCCCCTCATTGCCCTCAGACTGATCATTCTTTAAGTAAAATAAAGTCATTCCCCTATGAAAAAATCTTTCAGTGGCACTCCATTACATTTCCCAATAAAAGTAAATTTCTTGGCCTGGCCTCCAAGGCCCTTCATGATCTGGCCCTATCTTATCATGTCTCTGCCCTCT